AATTTGGTATATCAAGTTCTTTTAGGGCATCGCTTATGTCCCTTCTAAGTATGTCTCTTCTAAATATGTTTCTTCTATTATAAGTCTTCTATTGATAAATTTTGCATAAACCTATAAGAAAAAAACATGTTAAAATATTTAAAGGAATTCAAAATAAATTAGGACACATATTATAATTTTTTTACCTATTTCTCTTCTTTGTAAGTAAATTTTTTTTAACCTCGTTCATTAAGTTTCAAATCATTAAGTCAATTCCATTCTTTAAATTCAATTGATTAACTTTTAATAAATATTTTTTCTTTAATTTACTTAAGATTTGTTAAGATTTGTTATTTCAAGATGTTGCTTTACAATTCTTTTTTATATCCTGAAAATGTATGATACATGTAATTCATTGAAAAGATAATTCAATTTTATTAATAATTTTTGAATATATCTATTTGATATATTGTTTAAACAAATCTGAACACTTGTAACTTTGATTTCTGGAGAAGAGCACAAAACGTATGTACAAGCGCGTATGTAAAAGGAAAGTAAACAATAAAATGAAAAATACATACATTTAAAATGACACTATTTATATTGCTTCTTAGAACTTACCTGCAAAATAATAGATTGTGGCGCATAAATATCAGTCACTTACAATCAAAACAAGTTATCACGAACTGTCAAACTTGCCGCAAAACTCAACATCGTTGACTGCCAATCGGACGTGCGGAAAAAAACTAAGCATACTATCTCGTTCACTCTTTCGTTTTCGACTTTCTTACTCTCGTTATGCGTATCTTAAATTGATAGAGATGTTTTAATAATCACTCAATTAGAATGTGACATAAGGAGATTGCAGTTAGAGATACATTTTCCAATTTTTCATGAAACATATTATACTGTGCCCGTCAATAATTCGCTGGGTACCCTATTCGCTGGGAATCATATGTGATCCTGACTTATCGGTCTGATGATCCGCTGTGTCGATAAGATTAATAATGATACGTTTATCAAAGGGACATATTAGCAGTAATCTAGATTATGATTCGAAGCACAATATGTTATGAAATATATATTTATATCTTATTATTCTAGATTATTGCTAATGTGTCGGTTTGCGTGTGTATACATTAGATCACATTAGATCTTATCGATCTTACGGATAAATCAGGTCGATAAATCAGGGCCACTATAAGAACCAGCGAATTATTGATGAACAGTTTACACTGGACTAACTTGAGTAACACCTCTCGCGACAGAAATTGCAACCATGCAAAGGCAATGACGATAATAATGATGTTCCTTAAAGTAAAAATATACAAATCAGATTTTGCGTAATATCTTCGCTCGTAGGACACGTAGTAGAAAAATAAAAATACTTTTATTATGCAAATAGAACTCAAGCTATCGCTCAAGCCTACTTAGAACTTAATCGGTTTAGCTGTTACTGAGATCTGATAATTTCGGGTGCTTGCATCTCGCCGACTCGTGTAAAGTCATATGGTAGTGTTCTCGGTTGACTTGACACCCGAGACATTACTGTGTCTCTTGATCTCATAAAAATTGCGTTATTAATTTATTACTTATTTAATTGAAGAAACTTGTTTAAATATTATTTGTATAAAACATATTAATTGTATAAAAACTTTGTTGTCAATAACTCGCCTATGTGAACTATTATACAATTACTTTTAAAAAAATTATTCTTTGAAACTTTTTTAAAATTTTTATTACTTAAAAAATAAAATTTAAGTAATAGTATTTTTAATTTTTAAAACATAAATGGTACATATATGGTACATATTTTGAATTAATTCAAAATTCTTCCTAACCAAATGATAGTAATTATTCTATTTGATTCTTCTTTAAAGTATTATTGTCTCATAAAATTGCGTATTGTAATTCAAATATTAAAATATAAATATCAAAAAATTGAAGAAATAACAATACAAAATGAAAAAATTTTATTTAAACAAATTTATTACATCTTGTATTGTTACTTCTTTAATTCTTTGTGACAAACTAGAACAGAAAAACTGATATTATTATCAAAATTGGTTCATTTAATTACATATTTAATAATTCTTTTTAATTATATTCTTTTTAATATCAATATTAATTTTTACAAGAAACAAATATTACACAAATAAAAATATATACAAATATTATACTCATAAAATCTATATTAAATTTTTTCCATAAAAACAAATATTTTATACATTTCTTTAAACATATTTAAAACATGTTTAAGACAAGTGTTTTTTTAAAACAGTATAATTTAACACACATTTTAAAAATATGATGTTTAAAACAAATGTTTTAAATATTTTACTGTTTTAAACAAACTTATTTTAAACACTTGTTTTAAACATGTTTTAAATATATTTAAAACAAATATTACTACAAATGTTTAACTTTTCTCCTAAGGAAAAGATTCAACATAGATTTTTATGAGTATAATATTTGTATATTTATTTTTATTTATCTAATATTTATTTCTTTTAAAGATTAGTATTAATATTAAAAAGAATATAATTAAAAAGAATTATGTATATTATTATATATTTAAAATCTATAAGTCTTAACTGTATTCAAACATATACAAATACGTAAAACAATACAAAATAATATACAAAAATCTTACGTTCCTTAATATTTCTTTATAGTTTATATTGTTTTTAATTTCTTCTTCAAAAACCGAATTATTAAAATTTAAATTTCTAATGATAAATACTAATGATACTTTTTAATGATAGATGCTTTTTCTATTCTAGTCTATTACGCATTGTACTATGTATAAAAGTGAAAAACAATCTTTTAATACGTGCAAAGGATGCGATAACATGGATAGATGCATGGATGGATAGATATGTTTGTTAGATAAATCAGACATAGTATTATGAA